GTTTTTTATTTTACATTATCATTATATAAAAACATGTTTTCAAGCAAATAAAATGGCATACAGTATCATTAATTAGTTTCACTTAATCAGATAAAGGTGAGTTATTAAAAAAAAGTCAGAGTGGACATTAAATTACCTCTTAAAACGAAATAAACCGGACACAGACGTAAGTATTCAGTTTAAAACAGTTTTCTCTTTGCAAAGAGTGAGAAGTTTCTGAGGACGCTTAAAGACAGGTCTCAGCAGAAAGTTCTGACCTTGGTTGGGAAAAGTTGTACAATTTATTACAAGAAGAGCACAGAGAGAAACATCTTGACCAATCACAGGGTTGTTTCTTATCTGTTAGTGCAGCTCAAAGCTGCAGGGATAAAAATTATGGCAGCAAGAAAGACATTTAATACAGTTGATTAATAAAATAGGGTCAAATATTTAAAAAATGGTAAAGTTTAAAAATATCTATCAGTCCCCACCCATGACTTCTGTTGTGAGTTGATGCTGTATAAACAAACAACTGAACTGGATTATCTGGGATGGTCTTTTTGAACCAGATTAACTGTAAAAGCTAATCACTTGTAGAGGTATATCCAAAGATCATTATAAAGTTGGTTTTGCTGACAGACCAATGAACACGAATGTGTTCTAGAGTTGAGAAAATGTGTAAATGTAGGTTTTTGCTCCAAAACTTTTCTTTTCTTAAGGTTAAAAGGAAGAAAACAATTTAGCTTCTTCACTTTTATAATATCAATGAAATCAGTCTTTTATGAATGTAATTTCAGTGCCTATTTAACATCACATTTATAATACTCTCGGCAACCCCAGTATTACGACTTACTGTTCTTGTGACAGTACCTGATCTTATGTAAACAAAGATGTTTTAATTGTTAATTTCCAGGTATTACAAATTGATCCAGAAGCAACAGATGATGAACTGAAGAAAAGATTTCGAGCAGTAAGAAAAAATATCTAACTAGTAAGTTATTCATGTTTTTATTAACTTGTATTTTAATAAACCTTTTTTTTTACTTTCCAGCTGTCTATTTTAGTCCATCCAGACAAAAATCAAGATGACCCTGAAAGAGCACAGAAAGCCTTTGAAGGTAAACTCATGTTTTAATGTGCATCTTCAGATTTTCAAAAGTAAGCATTAAATATTTGCAAGATGGTCACACTGAAATCCTGTTTAATTTCAGCTTTTGACGGAGCTGCGATTGTTACTTGTTTCCCTGCATCGTCACAATTTATAATTTTTATTTTTTAGTTGTGGACAAAGCTTACAAACTTCTGCTGGAACCAGAGCAGAAGAAGAGAGCTGTAGATGTCATCCAGGCGGGAAAGGAATACGTGGAGCATATGGTTAGTGTGCTGCAGCTTTCGTTGTATGTGGAAATCTCAACATCATATCAGTTTAACTTCCCTGGTTGTGGTAATATTCTGTTGGTAACAGGTAAAGCAGAAAAAGAAACAACTGAAGAAGGATGGGAAGTCACAGGATGTGGAGGAGGATGATCCAGAAGTAGTGAGTTGGTGTTTAAATGTAATAAACAGCCAAATCCGCGTCAAATCATTTTAATGTGATCCTTAACATTTGTTAAAAACAAGTGTTTGTTAAAAATTCAGTCAAGATTGTTGATGCTTATTTTTAATCAGCTTAAATGTTTCTCCTGCAGTTTAAACAAGCTGTGTATAAACAGACCATGAAGCTGTTTGCAGAACTTGAAATCAAGAGGAAGGAAAGGGAAGCAAAAGATATGCATGAAAGGTAGATAACCATGTAATTACAACCCAGTTGTTGCCCAAAATTCAATATTTAAATTTTTTTATTAAGAATATCATGAATTTCTTACTTAAAACTAGAAAAAGGGCGAGAGAGGAGGAGATTGAAGCTGCAGAAAAGGCAAAGCGGGACAGAGAATGGCAGAAAAACTTTGAGGTGAGATCTTCCTTGAGTGCTTTTTCCTTTTTATATAACATTGTGCTACCCCACATTATTTCATTAAATACTTATTATGCTGCAGGAATCAAGAGATGGGCGTGTGGATAGTTGGAGGACCTTTCAGTCCAAAGGCAAAACCAAGGAGAAAAAGAGCAGGTCCTTCCTTAAACCCCCCAAAGTTAAGATGGAGCAGAGAGAATGATGCCGTAAAACTGTCGATTTAAATAAAAATTCATTATGTGTTTATCCTCACCTGGTTTGTAGTCAGATGTGTTAGTCAGGATACGTGTATGACAAGTTACTTTTCCTGAAAAAAAAAAAACATAGTTTTGTACTTCATTTTCTAATGTACATATTTGTGGTTTGGAGCCAGCGGCGTTACCTTTCCTGTCAGAAAAGGGTGACGCATCTTTCACTGTTGTAACTGAGAAATGTATGGTCTTTTTTTTTGGTAATAAAGCTTGGTCTTAATGAGCCTTTTTTTCTGTAATCTACAGAGCCGAGTGTAAAATTAATTTTGCAGGCATTTAAAAGATGTGGCATGAATCTTTTTCTGGATTTAATTTGGAGTCCAACAACAAAAAGTGGAGAAAACACCAGTTTTCATCTTGTTTAATAAATGGTTGTTCCGACTGCATGAATGCAAGCTTCGTATTTCATGTACCAACATTAATTTAGCATATCAAACGTATTTAAAGAAAAAACACCAAACTGTATTTACCATTTCTATTGTCTGTTAATAAAGTTGTTTGACTGGCTTTGGCCTCTGCTGTGGATTACAAGCACCTCAAATCAAACTCTGAACCATTAATCTTTAATAAACTGCTTTATTGAACAAAGTGCATTCAGACAATCAGATTTCTCAAGTACAAAAATAGACAATGGAAGCAAAAAGAATAAAGCAGTCATTTCATCGCTCACGTTACAAAATGATAATCACTCGTTCTTTAGATCAGATCGCTCTTTAAGTCTTAGTGAGAAAATCTCAAGTGTTTAATAGTCCCTTCATGTTGCACATCACATAACTTTGCACGGATCTCCTCCACCTGCAGCGGGAGCCGAGATGCCGGGCGATCCAGCAGTGCCTCCCATCAGCCCGTCCAGACTGAGACCCTGAAAGGCACCGAAGAACGACTCATCCTTGGCTGGTGCTGGTTTCCTGGCTGCAGTTGTTTGCTGCGGGTAACACAAAAAAGGGATTGTGAGATATTGACCAAAAAAATGAATAAAAATTGCTTGTTTTATCTTCACTAACCCGTGGAAGGCAGTGGTGGCTCCTGAAGTGGGTTTTTCTCACAGTCCTTTCTGCATTCTTCTTGGCTAGAATGGCTTGTTGACGTTTCCTTTTGGCAAACAGCACAGAACATTAGGCATGGCACATGGGCAACCCGCTTATTCATGTGACTAACAGCCTTATCCACATTAATCCAAGCCTGTCTGTCCTAAAGTCAGGAACTGGTAACTTTAAATAGTCTAAAAAGCTTAAAATCCTAAACATTTAATGGGACTTTTACACTGCTGATAAAAACTGATCATAAAATGAAGACTTGTGAAAACGTCTGTACCTTTCCCTCTTCAGTTCATCCTGATACACTCGGAGCCAGGAGTCTGGGACTTTCTGGTTGTTGCAGGGAAGGCTTCTCCTCCTACTGATGCTCTTCCTGCGAGTGAGGCTGCATCTGCGGACCGAGTGGCTCCTCTTGGTGGTTTTCGTGCCGGACACGCAGCTGGTGAACTGCTTCAGCGGTGCGCCCAGCGACATGAGGGATTCCATCTCCAGAATGCTTTGAATGCGTTGAAAGTTTACTGGATGAACTTTGCCTTGCTTTATAACAGAGTCAGCATGTGGATTTTACCCAGCAGCAGTGTTGACTCGCAGCTTTGTGTTGGAGAAAAAGATTTTTGTGTCTCAAATCTGAGAAAAAAATACAATCACAGCAAATATCAGTAACTGTTATGAGTAATTCACCGTTTGTTTTTTTTAGGAAACAAGACTGACCTGTGAGGTAGATCTTTGACACAACCTGCTTCTTCTGTAAAAGCTGCGTCCGCTCGGCGTGTCCTCCCAGCCTTTCTGATTGTTAAAACGTCTCTCTGGCTGCACTTATGAGGATTCGACTGATGACCTTGCTGGTCTTCAAATAGGATTATCTGAAGACGTATAAGACGTTTAGCTCATTAACAAAGAGATCTGGAATGGTACATGACCTGTGTGTTAACAATCAGCTGGTGCAATCTATGATTTAACTTTAATGACTACAGTCCAAAAATCCTGTTTTATCAAACATTCTCGTCTCATTTTTACTTCGACTTTTGTTTTGGTTGAATTAATGGTACTCAAATGAAACTATTTGGCAAGTAAGTGTAGACGGAAATCAGACAGATGGGAGCGTGGAAAGACACTTCGATGACGCAGAGAGGATTTCTGTTTCCCCCCAAAGAACCTGTTCATTGACTGGAGGCGACAGATGAATGACTCGTTGAGACTCGTTCACAAAAACAGCTCGGATTAATCCAAACCTGCACAAATCTTATCTAAGGTATCGATATGATTGTTAGCTGTAAAAACTACCAGACTAAACTTCAACGTGGATAAGCCAAACAACATTTTAGCTCACAAATCAGTTCCTAGTTATCTGTGGTTCCACTAAACCCAACCGTCCAGGTTCGGTTATATTTAGCACAAAGCTGAGTATTTAGCGAAGTTCTAATCTTGTCTGAGATATAAACAGTACAGCAGGGGTCTCGGCAGCTACACTGACCCACGGTAACGTGTAGCTTAAAGCACGAGGACGGTGAGTGAGGATAATAAAAGCAACAGTAAAACCGGAACATTACCAACAGATGGGAAAGCTTGTGTGACGGTGCATCTGGACACCTGTCGCAGCAGATCGTCCACATTTCTCCGTCTCTGGGAGACACAGACAGCTGAGCTTCGTGTTGGAAGGGGAAAAAAATAGAAATTAGTTGCCAAGCACAGAATAAGCAAATGTCTCCAACATCAAATGGGTTAAAGGCGAAATCAAACCTGGGTAAAATTATAAAATTGAGAAATAATTCAGGTTCCTTAAACCACAGTTAAATGAACCAGGGTTTTTTTAAGACTGAAGAATTACTCGTCACTTTTTAACTCATTTGAAAAATTCTGGTAAGATGTGGCCTGGGAGACAGCAGGACACCACCAATTATTTACAAGTGGTCCACAACGCTTCTGAAAGCAGCATTAACCTTTGGCAAAAAGGACTTTAATTCTACACAATAATACATATATACAGTTTTATATGCTTTCACTTCTTACAAAAAAGTCACAAACAGGAAGGAACTGGGACCTATGACCTATTGGAACTCAAAATAAATACCACCAAGAGCAGCAGTGTGCTTGTAGACTTCCGTCAAACGTGGAAAAAGGCAGTTTGTGTTTACACGTATGAGAATAATCCCACAACTAATGCTCAACCGAACCAACTGGCAAAATCAAAAACGAGTCACCCATCCCGTCCCTACACACAATCACACTTATAAAAAAAACATTCAGACAAACAGATCTCTGGATACGTTAGGCTACAGGAGCCTGGTGAGCGGAGTGTCCGTCGCTGTCGTCTCACTAGCGAGGAGAAGCCACCAACGGGGTCAAGTTTCATGGAGGGCAAATTCTTTTTGGGACATAAAATTTTAAAAAAAGAAATGCAACGCAAGCGCTCACTAAGCAACATAAACGTTGAGACATGTCAATGCTGGAGATACTTGGGAGTTTCCAGGGAATATTTCTTGATAAATCTCCAAAATATAAAGTATGAATGTGAGAACTTGCTCTGAATATACAGATCTAACCCCCCCTTTTTTTACCCTTTTCTTGTACTTCAGAACTAGAAGAGGTTTCAGCTCCAAAATCGAGTTGTATCTGATGACTGTAGAACTGTTCGTTTCCTTAGAGAGGTCTTATTTTCTTTGACGGAAGAGAGGAAGATGTTCACGAGTCAAAAGGAAGACAGGAGCTGCATAGACGGCTACTTGGGGTAAAAACAATCCATTGAATGTTTTCTTTTCTCAGTCTGGCTTTCAGCGTTGACAGCTAGAAAAGATTTTTGAGTCTTTTCCCATCTTTAAATGGGTGTTTTGGTCTCTCTGGTGCAAAAACATGCCTCGTGTGACTGCAGAGATGAACGTGAGGTTGACGGGGGCGGAGGAACGGGAAGTTAAGAAGTCCATGCTTTAATGACAAATAACAAAAAAATAATAAATCTCTTTAAGTCCAAGTTCATTTAATAGCTCAGTTGCTCCAGAAGCAAAGAACTCGATCTCTCCCGTGGTTCAGTTTTTAACGTTTGCGGGTCACCGGCTGATGTCCCGGTTTCCCTCCCAGTTCTTGCAGCCCGCGGCGTCGCTCACTCCCAGGTTCTCGAAAAAAGGGTGTTTGAGGGAGTCGGCCAGGGTCAACCTCTTCGAGGGCTCGTATTCCAACATGCTTTCAATAAGATCAAATAACTGGTGGTGATCTTCTGCCTCTGACAGCAGGTACCGCTGGTGGAAAGAAACAGGACAAAAAGAGACGGGCGTCAATACAAGACTAAAACTTGACTCTATTAAAACTCATTTCCTCTCACTCACCCGTAACGGTTTGCAGTTTTCTCGGACATATTTTCCTGATGAAGAGCTCTCATCCCAATCCAGACGGCCACGATAGAAATACTTCTGCTTCCTGTTTTTTTTTGTTTGTTTGTTTGTTTTTGAGAAGAGAGTAGTGTTTAAGCATGTAGTAAATGTTTAGATGCAAATGTCTGCCTGATGTACTTTAACTGTGTACATGCCTGGTTTTACGAATCATCCTGGAGGGAACTGGACCCAGGATTCTCTCCATCATAGCCAAATGCTCCCTGTTGTCATGAGTCTAAAACACATAAGGCAACATGATGGGGTGAAATATAAAGTGTGTCATTTAAAGTTCAGCTGCAACATCGTCATAAAGACAAACAACATGGCTAAAGAAAAAAACTGAAATCCTTTTGACTGCAGGAATATTAAACACCATCTAGATCTGGCTGTGTGCACTACATATACCACTGACATTTAAAATACAAGCACAACATAAATATTAAAGGGCCTGTGACATGCCTATCCATCAAATACAAAAAGTCAAAGAAAACCCATTTTTATATAAGAAACCTGGCATAAAACGTGATTTTACCCATTTTGTCACATAAATGGCATATTTTCTTTTGAACTTGGCTCAGTTAAAGTGCAACAGGAAGTGACATCAAAGGGGAACTTTTTAAGAAAGAGAACTCTCTGGTCTTTGTTTATTGAAACAATATTATTTGAACTCTGACTCATCTTCATTTCTCTCTGATAGTGACTCAAAATAATCTAAAGAAACAGATTCTTCTCTACAGTCTGTGTCATTAGCTATTTTATCAATGCTTTGTTCCATGCAGGCATTCCCCTTTGACATCATTTCCTGTTACTTCACATGCAAATATCTCAACATCTCAGCAGTGGGAAATTATTTTTGCGATAAGCTAATAATGTTATCTCTCCAATAATGCCTTTATATTTATTTTAAAAATTTCATGTCACAGGCACTTTAATGCTCAGTTTACATTTGTGCAGTTGTTACAACAAGCAGGAGTAAGCAGAGTTGTTGTGTACCTGAAACAAGGTGAAACCTAAGTAGTACTCAAACAGGATACAGCCGATACTCCAGACATCACACGGGTGACTCCAGCCCAGTTCTAAAGAAAAAGGAAATCAGTATTTGGAAATACCAGCTCTGCACAGCTCATCTGTTTATTAGAATTTTATTTTCCTGAATTTCTAAAAGTAAAAACACAAACATCTGCAACACTTGTAGCCCCCTCACCTAATATGACCTCGGGGGCACGGTAGTGCCTCGTGGACACAATGGTGCTGTGGTGCTCATGGTCGAAAGTGGCGCTGCCAAAGTCCACCACTCGCACTGAGGTGCTCTTAACAGTTCGCTCTTCTCTTTTCTACAAGACAGGAAAAACTTATGAAATTTAAAATTACTTTCTTATATTTATTATATGTTAAAATGTAACCAACACGTGCAAAAGAATAAAACTTTCCTTTATCTTCTTTCTTTTTTGTTTTGTTTTTTACTTTATGAGACCGATCATAAAAAAAATCCTATATCTGCAAAAAATGCTTTCAAATTTAAAAATGAATTTTAACAAAAATAAATAAAAATAAAAATAAAAAAAGTTAAAAATAGGGATCCTGATTAAAAATATTTTAAGACTATTTGTATCTCTTGAGGAAGGACTGGGACACACACAAAAAAACATCATTTAGAGTTTCCTACCTTTTCTACATTGTAGGTCATTGTGAAGTCTGAGTTGACAAACAGGATGTTTTCTGGCTTCAGGTCTGTGTGCGTCAACTTGTTATCATGAAGAACTGCAGAAAAAGAAAAGTCTTCAACACCACACGAACTTAAAACTAACTGAAAACTAAACAAGAACTCATAAACAAAATATTAATTACTCAGTGTTTATTTGAAACGTGTTTCTCGTTAAATAAAAAAAGACTTACATTTCACAGCGAGACAAACTTGATAGGCCATGTGCCTGACCTGACCGATCGAGTACGGCAGATAGTTGTTCTCCTTCAGGAAGTCGAAGGTGCTCAGAGCCAACAGCTCAAAAGAAATACACATATGACCGTGGTAGTCAAACCAGTCATACATCTGTACACACAAGCTGCAAGACAACATACGTCACGTTTTATTTTTATTATTTAAACATTTAAGGGGAGAAAATAGCACATCACTATTTACACTTCTGGCAAATTCATTCAAACAAATTACACTAGTTTGTTAGGTAATATTAAAGACAGATATTTTGTTTTCCTGTTATTATTATTATTATTATTATTATGCACATGGTTTCAGATAAATCAGCACATTTGTGTAAATATTACATTTACCTACTAAGGTCAGTACTCACTATTTGTTATCAGGATCTTTTTCATTTATCTTCTCTAGCACGTTAATCTCCAGCCGAGCTGCTTCTTTGTATTTCTCAACGTTCTTGATAATTTTCAGAGCTACATGGGCTCCTCCTCTGTAAAATAAAGCATAGGAAACATTGGAAACCAAATGACCACCATGAAAACCATCATTTAATTGTGCAACTAAGGTTTGTTCTATTTGAACTTATTAAAGTTGTTTTATTTGACTGTGTATTTAAAATGTAATGCAAATCCTGAATCTGACAGCTTACAATAAGATAGATGCTTGATAGATACTTTTATTGCAATTCTAATTGCAACCAATAGATGCATAGATGGTTTTTCTTGTTTAAATCCAGCACAAAGAATCAAGGCTGTTAGAAATAACATCCCCAAACGCTGAAAGATATTTTTTATTATTCTAATAAATACACACCTGCGATGGTCAATGCACCGCATCACCCTGCCAAAGGTGCCTTCCCCCAAAGTGCTGACAATCTCATCTGCAACACAACAAAAAGAGAGAAGGAAGAAACAGGGAAATGGGGAAAGATAGTACGAAAGCGTTAGTATGGACACTATCAAGAATACAGTATGCAAAAGTGTAGACAGGTGACTCTGAGCTAAAGCCCATGTCTTAAAAAAAAGCTGCCTATTCAACCTGGCAGGTACAGACATTGTGATTTTATGTAAAGTGTACATATGAATAAAAATAAAGTGGCACTTAATTTCTCTAATGACTAATATGGAGCTACAGAGAATCCTGACTGTTGTTTCACCCCTTAAAAAAATGCTAAACAAAGATAAAACCACTAAAACTTAGAAATACTTTAAAGTATTTGTACAACACATTTAAGTATCAGTAATGTAAATGAAATGTTTTCTAGCTTGGCTAATATAAATTAATATGTAAGTGAGGTGTGTTCGAGCTCGTCACTAAGATGACTCCCTAAAAACGTTGTAGCAAAAACAAACTAGCTTAAAATACAGATGTAAAAACTGTAACTGAGTTTTAAGCTAAAGCACGACAGAAACAAGCAGCTACAAATTGAATTCTACGATTAGAGGAATCAAATGAACCTGTGAAACACAACAGGCTCCACAGCTGAAAATCCTAAAACAAAAACAAGGATTTTATCTAACGCCGAAATTCAGCAACACTGTTGCAATCCACCCTGCTTCTTCAGCCAGAGCGAAGAGCATTCTAGCAAGGCTTCATCATCAACATCATCATCATCATCAGACACTCCCATGTCATGTAAATGCTCTATGATAATACTCATATGGAGAAGGGTTACGATAGAGTAGTGGCAGTGAGTACATCTCTCTTGCAGGACGTCCCCACTCCGACAGATCAGGTGCCCTTCCTCGTCGTCCCTCACACTCAGTGCCCGCGTCCGGCTGGCGCTCCGCTGTTTTCACACCCAAAACCGCCATCAGCAGGCCGAGAACACGACCGGAGGGCAACCGGTTGGGGTTCAGTGTCGGCCGCAGCCACAACGTCAGGCGGCACAGGCGGATGAGGAGGGAGGAGGGTGGAGTTGGCGGTAGTTGAAGTAGTTGTTGGTGGGTTTCGTGGTCATGGGGCGATTCACGCATGACACCACGTGAAGGAAATATACAACGATAGGGATATAGTGCAAGGGAACAAGTCAAAGATCACATCTTGTCCTATGCTTCTCTTCCCCCCTCTAATTTACAACCACAGCTGCTTACAAACAAGGAAGCAGCTGGCATTTCCATTCATCAAGGCAAAACAAAAAAAAAACTGTTCAAACAGTCATAAAACTAAAGCATAACTGTTCAGGTTGGTTTCAGAATAAACAAAATTTAAAAAATACAATATCTGGATCAAATCTGTTTTAATGCTACATCAGATTTAACCTCTTACATAATATTTATCAGGTGTGGCGAAATATACTCCACACAAAAACTCCAACAATAACCCCAATTCTTTAAAATGGCTCTAGCTTTTAACCATTTGTCTCAGTTCAACTAAAACCTAAATTTTGCATGGAGTTTGGGAGAACATTTTCACTTTGTAATTATTCCCAGTTGGCAAAATAAATTTATAATAAAAAATAATAATAAAAATCTTGCACAAAACATTCATGAGGTAATTTTTTTAGGACAAAAACTTTCGATGCTTTCAAAAAAATAGGAATTTCACCAGGGATTTGGGAAAAAAAGCTCAAATATAACTTGCTTTAAATATTGAAGGACTTCCAAACAAATGAAAATGTTCTGCCAAAAATGGTAGCCAATTTTAACCAAAAAAAAATTAAACCAAATGAATAAAAACACTGACAGGACAAAAACAAATCAAAAATGTACTACTTACCAAGTCCACGGGCTGTAAAAAAAAATGTGTTTACAAAGAAAGATAGAGACAGAAAGAGTTGAAAGAAACTAGAGGAGGAGAGAGAGGAGGATGAGGAGGAGGAGTTAAAGAACAATCGTGGACCTGGGTCTACTCACCGAGGAAGAAGGGCTATAGGACCTGGTTCTACGCCGCCTTCGTTTGTGCTTACGCCTGCTGCCTTTCCGCCGGTACGACTCGTCGCGTTCTCTCTCGCGGCCACGCCGGTAGTCGTACATGTTCGGGGAGAAGTCACGTGGGTAATAGCTTTCGGCTGCTCCATGTGGCTCCCTGTCCCGGTCTCGTTCTCGACTCTGATCCAGTCGTCTGTATCCCTCGTGGTACCTTCGATCGAACGGACGGTGTTCTGCCGAACGATTGTCATAGCTGCGGCTACACAAAAAAAAAAAAAAAAAACACGCAAAAGCAAATAATGTAGACGGGCAAAGATAAATCACAACCTTACATCACAACATCCAGTACCTCCTTGAGCGCAGGTAGCTTCCCTCCTGTCTGTGCCCTCGCCCCCGTCTGTCGCGCTCTCGGTCACTGCTGGAGGAGTGTGTGTGTGATCTTCTGTGCCGATGTCTTCGACCTCGGTCTCTGTAACGATCTTGGTAGCTGCTTCGGCTCTCTCTGTCTGAAGACGAGTACCGTCTATTGTGAGGCATCTGGTGACATGTTGGAAGGAAAAATAAAAAAATGATGGTTAGATGAAATCTTTTCAAACTTTTTTTGAAGACAAGCCTATAAATTATATATGTATATAACAAAAAAACAATAAAAAGTTAAGCTATTTCATGCTGATTTATTTATTTTTGACTAAGTTTGACAGCTGCTTATCAGCAAAAACACATAAACAAACCTAATATCTAGGTCAGTGGTTCTCAATCACTATCTATCTCTCAGGTTGTACATGTTTATTTGGTTAAACAACCCAGTTAAATTATTTAGCTGTGATTTTTAATCAGATGAGGCCTAGAAATGTTTTTTTCTTCCGGGGCACGGCAGGAAAAGCATTAGAAATGAGCTATCCAAAAGCAAATTATTACCCCGTAACCAAATGATACAAGTTCCATGGGGTGATAATTTGATAGACAAAGTTTGCAAAATTCTGTTTAACTTGAAAAGAAACGTTTGAAATTAGCAAATAATCCCACCGTGTGTCTGGATAAAGTAGTCAGCTCAGTGTTTAAATAATAATAATTGCTGTTGCAACGACACAGCGGGGAGATATAACCTCTTACACGATCAAATTTAAAGCCTAGCAATATTCTTACACATTTGATCAAACTGATGAGAACAAATCAACTATTATAATACCAAATAAGTTACTTTTTACATTTACTGTCTTCAACTTTCACTACGATTCTGCCTCGTTAGCGCTCGCTAAGTCCTTGCAAGTAGACTAATAAACATTACTGCTACCGTTCATAAAATTATTAATGCAATTAATTTAATTAGGCACAGTGACAAAGATCAGGAACTTCTTAAACCAACTTTGAAAACCGTACATTGATCACTGAGCGACGAAGCAGCGGTTAGCGTGCCGTGCTAGCAACTAGCTAATGTAAATAATTTGACCGCCATCTTAGCTACGTTCATCGGTTTCGCAGCGACTGCAGCTAGCGGACATGCTAATGGTAGCGACTGTAACATGGTCCCCGAAAACTCAAAAATTGATTTAAGTCACCGTTTTAGCAGCGAGGCCCGTACGTCTGTCCCATAGAAAATCCGTGGTGGCGTTTGGATTTCACCACTATCTTTTGTCGCCGGCCCAGTGTTCAACGGGCTCGTTGCTAGCAGGCTTTTTCTCAGTTCTGGTTCGAACTAGTGCGGCTGCAACGCCTCCCTGCGCTGAAACGGTTGTCCACCATTTTATGGCAGGTTGTTGTAGCATATAAATAAACCACACTTCTATTACTAATTACTTTTGAAAATATCATTATTGCTCATTCATGTCATATTAAAATATAAACTTAGTAAAATTTACTATTTAAATTTTAACTTGGTGCATTACAAAAAATATTTATTAAATCTAATCTATTCTAGTGAAAAACTGAAGGGCATCCTTCATACTGTAATCAACATAATTCAAAGATCACTTTTACCATTTGAAATTAGCTTCCTTTAAAATTGTACTTCAGATATACACAATTGTCACACCTGATATTTGTGAACTTGCAGATTTTTAAAACGAAAAGATAAACATTTAATAAATGTTAAATTCACTTGCCATACTACGCCACTTTATGTTTACCGGAGTCATTCTTGATCTATTTTTTATTCATCACATTTGTATTAACACTGTGGTTTTGACATTGTACTTTTTTTCTTATAAAGTGAAGAACTGATTTGAACTTTAATATTCAGATTTAAGTTACAATATTAAATTTCTATTGAAAAACCTAAACATTTTCCAAACTTTTTACAATGTTTTTTTATGTCAATACAAACCATGTCAGTTTTAAAAATAACCTGTAATATTCAAAAGAAAAAATAGCAGCAGTGGTTTAAAAATAGTCATATTGAAAAATTGGATTCTTGTTTACCCTTTCTACGTTTTAACGAACATACATACATTTTGTGTGTGTGTGTGTGTGTGTGTGTGTGTGTGTGTGTGTGTGTGTGTGTGT